CAGATGGGACCTGGTGCCTTGAGGGCCTTTATGCCACGTTCCTGCTGTTACTGTCATTTATTTATCAGGGTAAATATGCACAGTATTCAACAGAGTACCAAACACACAAAATAACAGATCTCTGCCTGGAGGAGCTTGCAAATCTCTGTTTTTCTCCAAGAACATCTGCACAGTTGCGTTAGTTTCAGGAAAGGTGAGGACAAAAGGATTATTAAACCATAGGATTAAAAAAAAAAAGAATCCAGAAATTGTGCAGATGGCTGGATGTTTCTCATAGGTTTTTTTTTTATTATGACACCTTGATGCCAAATGGACTGAGCGCAATGACATTTTTCACCTGCAAAAAGAAAAACTGATTCTTGGCAGCTGCAAAAACCTGTTTTCTTTTTGCTACCTGGGGAGGAAAAGGAAAAATTAGTGTTGCTCCACTGCCACTTACAGGACAAAGGATGTTAAAACAGCACATGCTATAGTGCAGGGGCTGGGTGTTTTTGGACTGCAACTCCCATCATCCATTACCACTGGGTATACTGAAGATGGTAGCAGCCTAACAACACATGCTCTCCCACCCTTCTTCTATCCTCTGTTGTTGTTGTGTGCCATTTCTGATTGATGGCAATTCTAAGGTGAATCCTATTTCAGATGGTTTTCCACTGTCATCCTCTGAGGCTGAGAGAGTGTGACTTGCCCAAGGTGAGCCAGGGGTTTCCATGGCTGAGTGGGGGATTTGAACTCTGGTCTCTTGGAGTCCTAGTCCAACTTAAACCACTAGACCATTAGCCCCTTCTGTATCTGAGGCCAATTTTCCTCTAGCCAGGTTCATGACTAGCTGTTCCAAGGCAAAGATATTTATAGTTTCTAACATTTCTTATCTTTCAGCTGAATCTCAAATGTGTGTACCCACAAATAAGGTGTACCCACACTGCACAATTGTAGCCCTTTGGTTCTACTTGAATTGCCATGGCTGTGTCCTGTGGAATCTTGGGATCTGTAGTTTGGTGAGGGATTTAGTACTCTCTAGTCCACTTTCACAACTCTTTGG